TATAATTGAATAAATACATAATTGTTGTTATATAATTTATTATTTGAGAATTTAATTGCAAATTAAGATATAATACAAATTACTGTGGATTATTTAATATTAATAATAGAGAAAACTTATTCCTCACCCGGGTGAATTTCTCACCCCCTGTTAATTATATTAATTATATTACACAGATTATACATGTGACTATAAATTATTACATTATATAAATAAATACATGTGACTACAATATAAAAATAAATAATATAACGCGAATGTGTTTGTTTATTGTTTAATAATGTCTGATAAAGAAAACGAAATATCAATTAGTTGTGACAAAGGATCACTTGAAAATATACTAGGTGCTGAATTTGAAAATTATGAAGGTATTTTACCTTTAATTGACACTCCTATAGAAATTATAGAAGGTACACAGTTTATTTCTATGTCAATTGCAGTTCATTTTATAGAACAATATGCACGACAAAAGAAATTTGCTGTTATTAAATACAAAACTGAAACATTTCAAGATGGTACTTGTAGAAAACGAGTATTCAAATGTGATTTAGGAGGAAGATATAGTGAGAAACTTTCAAAACCAGCACTAGGCAAGCAAAAAAATAAAGGAACAAAAAAATATGGATGTATATGGCAAATAAATGTAACACGTGAAAAAAACTCTCCAATTACAACTGTAACATCATTTATTAATGATCACAATCATAAACTTTCTAGCGAAACTATGATATTTTCTATAGCTTACAAAGGTTTTTCCCAAGAAATTATGGAACAGATTGAATTTTATGTTATACATGGACATTGTGATGCAACAATGATTAGAAATTTACTTCAACCCAAATATCCTGATAGAGTATTTTTATCTAGTGACCTTAGTAATGCTATTCAAAAAATAAAACGAGAAAATGGAATAAATCTAGGTGACGCAGCATCATTATTAATGAAACTTCTTGCGTATCAAAAGAATAATCCTGAATGGTTCGTAAAACCATTAATTGATGATACGAGTAATAGATTAATTGGTATTTTTTGGATGTCACCAGAGCAACGACAAAGATGGATTAAATTTTATGATGTCATTATTCATGACAATACTGCTCGCACCAACAAATATAATTATCCTTTAAGTCTTTTTATTTTAATTGATAACTATAATAAGAGTAGATTAGCAGCACAAGCAATTATACAAGATGAAAGACAAGAATCTTATGAGTGGTTATTACAATGTTGCCTCGAAGCATGTGAAATACCACCAATAACATTTGTTACTGATGCTGATCCAGCAATGGTCGTGGCTATATCTATAGTATTTCCAAAAACACATCATATACAATGTTTATTTCACCTTTATTTAAATCTTCCAAAAAATTTTTGTTCATGTTTAGGTTCATTATATCAAGAATTTTTTAAAGACTTTAGAAATATTCAAAGATCTCATTGTGAAAGTTTATTTGAACAACGATTACAAGGTTTTGTAGAAAAATATGTAGCAGGAAAAAAATATATAAATACACTATTAGATAAAAAACACTCTTGGGTAAAATGTTTTACATCACGGCATTTTACTGCAGGTACACAATCAACACAACGGGCTGAATCAGAAAATGCATTAATACAAAAAGCAGTACAATCTTCATTTTCACTTTTGCAAGTACAAGAAGTTCTTGAACAGAGGCTCGAGTTCGAAATTATTAATAATCGTTACTCAATCTGGAAAATGTCAATGTTACAATATTCACAATCATTCGTTATACAAACATTTTTCAATGATATCAATAATATTTTAAAGAAATATCTTACTCAACCAATTCACGATACACACCATAAGCAAATGTGTCAATCTGTGTGCTATTACGCTTTTCAAATATCATTAACAGAAATTTCAACATCAGACGATGATTCTTTTGAACCATTTTTTGAAAAAGAAAACAATAATATGTCTGAAGAAATTTTTATTGAAGCGGACGAAGATAGAGAACTTAATTTACAATCTTTAATTGCAATCGTTGATCCGGGTGATATTTTGGAAATTTGGAAAGTTGTACGATACAATTACCCGAAATGTTATCAATATATAGTTTTGCTCAACAATGGAGAGCACCTTTGTACTTGTTATATGCTTATTACTCATGGCATAATATGCCGACATTTTTTTAAAATTTTTGTAGAATCGTCAAAGGCACAATTTCATTTAATGTTAATACCTAACCGTTGGTATAAAGATGAATATAATTCAGACACAATTAATGAAACAGTAATAAGTAATAACAATTCTAACCATAATATTACACAAATTAATTCAACTTTTGTTCAAAAATATACTTCAGATGATCTTTCAGAAAAACATGGCAAGCAGATATCAAAAGATCAAATTAAATATGGTGTTTTGATGGGGGAAGCAAAAAAAAGCTATACAATATGCAATTGAAGATGGTGATAATGAGTTAATTCGATTGATAAAGGAATTTAACCAAAAAAAAGAAATTCAACGAATTCAAGAAGAATCCAATAAACAACAAGAAATCTTAACAAAACGAAAAAATAACGACAATCAAATTATTTTGAGTACAAACGGCATTTTAATTGATTCTCAGCAAATTTTAGATCCATTAAAACATCAAGCAAAGGGAAGACCACCAACAAAATGATTAAAATCCTTTTATGAACAATCTGGAAGCAAATCAAAAAATAAAAATAATAACAAACATACAGCAAGCACTACGGCATCTGATATGGGTCGCAAATGTGGTAAATGTGGAGAAAATGGTCATTATCGTAGTACTTGTTCTACGATAATTTAAAAATATTTTTTTTTTCAAATTTTTTATTAATTTGGGCGTTAATCACATGTATAAAGAGATTTATAAGCGAGATATTCCTCGCAATAACTTTATTAAATAAAAATTGATTACATATATAATATGTAGTTGAAAACTATAAACACCTTATTTATTACATTTAATAAAAAGATTTAAATGAGATATTATAAATAGATACTGTAAAGAATATCATGATGTGAGTTGGGGTTTGTATTAATTTGATTCTTATTGTTACTAATTCCATAATTAAATTTCATTGAAGGTAAATAATAATGAATGAATGTATGAATAGATGAAAAAATGAATGGATAGAAGATCGAAAGATAAATAATAATGGATAATGGATAGAAGATCGAAGGATAAAATAATAATGGATAGAAGATCAAAGTAATAATGGATGGAAGGTCGAAGGATAAATAATAATAGATGGAAGATCGAAGGATAAATAATAATGGATAGAAGATCAAAGTAATAACGGATGAAAGATCGAAGGATAAATAATAATGGATGGAAGATCAAAGGATAAATAATATAGAAGATCAAAGTAATAACGGATGAAAGATCGAAGGATAAATAATAATGGATAGAAGATCGAAGGATAAATAATAATGGATAGAAGATCGAAGGATAAATAATAAT